TAGGAATTGCCTCTTCTTTCAAGACAAGGAAGCTGAGAGGTGCAAGGAGCAAGCTCCTGCTTGGTGCTGGACTGCTGCTGCCCCTGGTGAACAAGTGACTTTTGCCACCTCCATCCCTTGCTCTATGGATTCCAGAGCTGGAAGCGCAGTGAATAACGCTGCTCCATATTTTATTCACCAGGCAGAGGGACTCTCTCCCACTGTGATCTCTGGTGCAGTTCACTTGTGTGATGCTGCAAGACAGGACTCAGCCCCTGCTCTGGCCCAGCAGGGCTCAATCACTGGTTAAAGGCATCCAAGACACTTTGCTACCCGCAAGAATTCAGCGCTTCACCCTGCAAATGAGGTGCAGAGCAGGCAAATAAGCCCCATCCCCGTTCTGCAGTGATTGCAGCAATCAGAGCCCAGCTCAGGCTGGCTCCCGGGGCCTGTAAATCCTGAACCCTGCAGGCACAGCCCGCGGGTTGATAACGAGTGATTAACCTCAGTTCCACTCCCTCCTCCCTTTGCAGACAGCTCATCTGGAATCCGTCCCCCCCCATGGTGTCACCAACCACGCCACTGATCACAGCCCCACGCAGGAGCAGCGCCGCTGCTGGGGCAGGCAGCAGCATCATTGCCCTGCTCCTGCTCAGCTTCCTCTTCTCCTCCACCTTTGTTTCCTTTCTGTCTCCAGTTTAACTTCTGCTGGAACTGATGCTGTTCCATGGTGGGAGGAGATTTGGAAGCAGAGGGAAATATGGGTGAGGGAACAGCACCCTCCCGAAGGGCCTCCGGAGGAGCCCTGCGCCCTGCCTGAGCTGCCAGTCTGGAGCAGGGGCATTTTAGGAGCCAACCTCTCCCACAGCATCCGAGCCCTGACTCAGGATGTTCCCAGCTTTCCCCGAAGCTCGTGGTCCCAGACATTCCCTTTGCCATTCCCCAGGGCTCCCCCCTGATCCGTGGGGCTCTGAAGCCCATCTGAGGAACACGAGGTGAGATGCAGATGTGTTTGTATTCATTTCTGGGGCAGGTGGCGGATGGTGAGAGCAGCTTTGCCTCCTCCCCTCCTCTCCATCCCTTCCTCCAGCTCCCTTTGAACAAATCATTCCTTTTGCAGAGCCCCGTTGTTTAGTTTTGCCGAGTGCCGAATCTCAGCCTCCTGTTAATTGGTTTTGCCCGTCTCTGTGCGTTCTGTTAAGGGAGAAAATGCCACACACAGGAATAGTCATTTTGAAAGCTGCCTTGTTTGCTTTACATTGAAACAACGGCAGAAACGGGCGCTTCCTCCTTTCATTAAAAACTCTTTGTGATGATAAAAAGCAGCAGAAATGAGATTAAAAAAAAAGAAAAGTGGTGTTTCCTTAAAAGCACATGAAAGCGACGGAGATAAATCCCACGTCTCGCAGGGATCAAACCCAGCGCAGGGCTGCGAGGCGGCGATACCGGCGGGGAGGAGGGCGGCCGCTGCGCTGCAGCAATAGCTCCTCTCCCAGGACACTGCGGGCTCTGCTTGGGGTGCTCTCGGCAGAGACCCCGTGTCCCTCCAGCCCCATGTCCTTGGCCGTGCTGCCTCCTCCCAGCAAGATGGACTGCGGACAGAGGGTGGCTGGCGCTATGGAACCATCACCGTGGCCTCAGGGCTGCCCTGGTGTTGTAGGTGCGAGGGGGAAATTGATGCCCAAAGCAAGAAGGGCGCAAAGGGTGGTTGCTGCTTGGCAAGTGGATATGGGGCAGAGGGACCAGCACCTTCCTCTGCAGCCCTGGCTTTTCAGACCTGGTTTGTGAGCACACACAGAGCACACAACCAGCTTCTAGGGAACCATAGGATCACAGACTGGTCTTGGAAGGGACCTTAAAGCTCATTCACTTCCAAGCCCCTGCCATGGGCAGGGACACCTTCCACTAAAGCAGGTAAGGTCTTAGGTCCTTCAGGACCCACACCGTCAGCACTCCCAGCCCAGCTGCTCTTTAATCACTGCTGATCATTGTTAAGCAAAGAGCCATCACCAGCTTTGTTGTCCCTCATGTTCTGACCATGGGGTATAAAGAACCGGACAACATGGCCTGAGGTCAGTCCTGGTTCCTGCTCACTGATCTGAGGAGTGTTTCGTGCTCCTGGATTTATTGTGCCTAACAGCTTCTGTAAATCAGTGCAAACAAAGAGCAAACTTCCAGCTTCACACTTGATTGCTTCATTTCTGGTTTATTTTCCCCTCATCCTTTAGCATCAAAGCGTGGGTTTTTTTTTTCTTCTTGATTTTCAATATTCTTTAGCAGTTGCTGAATTGCTATTCAGCTGTACGGATTTTTTCCACCCACTGCTATTTTAAAGGTCATTTAATTATTATTACAAAGAATTACAGAAAGATAGAGAATTGCTTAAATGCCTTGAGCTGCAACAGGTTATTAGCGTGGATCTGTTTTTATAGTCATGTTTAATGGATTAGTGTTTGCAGCTGTGTGCTAAGCACAGCCTGGAAGTCTTTGCCTCGGGTGGTGTCATCCAGTTGATGGTTTGCGGCCGTGAAGGGGCTCAGCAGCTGTGGGGTGCCCAGAAGCCATGAAAGCCGGAGTGGTTTGGGTTGGAATGGGGCTTAAAACTCCTCCAGTTCCAACCCCTTCCACTGGAGCAGCTTGCTCCAAGCCCCTGTGTCCAACCTGGCCTTGAGCACTGCCAGGGATGGGGCAGCCACAGCTTCTCTGGGCCCCCAGTGCCAGTGCCTTGCCCATGGGCCAGCCCTGGATGGGTGTCACCTCCTCAACATTTCCTTAAGGATTTTGGAGCAGGTTTCCCAGCCCTGGGCTGTTGCAAGAGCAGGGATAAGCCTCTGGCACCAATCCTGCCCCTGTCAGGGCCATCATGGCCATGGTGAAACACTGGGAGAGCTGCCTGGGGCTTCCTTGTCTAGGTGGGACTCTGGAAGCACGGATCTGGTGCAGGATCCCTGGGTCCCCTGGACTCTGAGGCCAGGGATGAGGCTTCCCAACCTGCCCACAGCTCCACTGGCTCTCCCACACCATCATCCCCTCGAGGGCTGCAGGAGCTGGGCAAGGCTTGGCACTTTCTCCTCCTTGTGGCTTCCCACAGCATTCCAAACTCCTCCAGGGAAGGCTCTTCTGCAGGATGAGCCGCCCCAGCCCCACACAGACCAGGGCTGGGTGGGAGCAGCCTGAAGCCTGTGTGACAGCAACAGCCAGAAGCTGGACCACTGGTGAAGCACGAAGCCTCCTCAGCTCTCTGCCTGAGGAGCTTGAGTCTTACCCAAGCAAGAAGCCAGACCAGACCCCCGGGTTCCTACCGCTGGTATTCCTCAAGGAGCTGTTGCACACGCAGGTTTTCCCCTTTGTTTCAGCAGCGCATTAATGAGCAGAGTCACTGCTAAAGCAAAGCAAAACAGAGAAGAGTCCTCTGTTTTCATGGAAACACCTTTTTTTTTCTACCAAAATGCAGGTATTGCTGGGAAAGAGCCCACTTCCCACCCTTCACAGCAACGCGGTGCTCAGGAAGGAAGGATGTGCTGCTCTGTCAAACCTGCAGGTAGGCAGGAGAGCAAACAGGGGCTTGGGAGAGGCACACCAGGTTTATCTTCTGCTCTAAGCCATGGAAGTGATTGGCATTTACTGTAGAGAGAATTCAGGATTATAAACCAAAGGAAATACTTCTGTTTCTGCATGTAAGATTGACCAGGCAAGCCCAGAAATGCAGCATACATCTAGCAGCATGCCTGAAGACAGCGTTAACCAGGCCTTAGTGTCTCAATAACCTCCTCCCTGTATCACAGCATCCTTTTCATCCCAAATGCTCATTCCACAAAGCCGGGGTGGGGGGACGGGACACAACCAGTCACACAGTGTGGACTAAATTGTAAAGCCTTGCTCAGTCCTCTAGGTGGAAGGCTGAGAAAAGAAATGTACTACTTAGAAAAGGGATACAGGATGTCTCAGAGCAAAGCTGAAAGTGCAACCACTTCTTTGCCCACTTTACTTGTGATGCCAGATGTGAATCAGGCGCGTGGGTTGGGAGGTCTTAACCGAAGGCTTGTGAGGTCTTAACCGAAACAGTCTGACAAACAGACCTCGGATCCCACACGTTGTTCCTGAATATTGTGTCTCTGGAGCCTTCTGCTTCCAGCTGCTGCTGTGTTGCAACAAATGCATCACTCCTTTTGTACACTGTTGTGTAAAAGTGGAAAGACAGGCTGGGGCCTGGCTGGGCTGTCCTGCTGCGGAGCCTTAGCTGGACTGAACACACCGGGATCGGGGTTGGGAAGCACAAGGGGTGTCAGGAGCACAAGCCACTGGCCGCAGCATCCCAAGCATCCCTGGTGCTGCGCTAGGGGCAGCTCCCTGTGCCCTGGATGCTGCCCAAATCCACCTCTCCCCAGGAGCAGGCAGAGCCCGGCACAGCCGGAGGCTGCCTCTGGCTCCGCACCAACACGGCACAACCCACACCGGGAATTCCCCAGGTGGTAGCGAAAGCACGGGCTTGCCTCATGGGGACAGCCTGCGCTAGGAGCGGAGGGAGAGCCCAGCCCCGTTGCACGCCCGCGTTGTGTGCATTGCACAACGGGTGTGAAACACGGCGCTTGCCTCCCCTCGCAGGCAGCTCCTGGGGCCAGGGAACACCTCCTCTAGGCTCAGCAGGTAGGGAAGCACCCCTGGGCCCCTGCCCGGGGCTGGCACCGGTTGAGTCACGGCGGCCCCGCACACGGAGCGGCTCCCGCTGCCGCTGACATCACGGAGCGCTGCGCTCTCTGTTTGCCTCTGCCCCACTGACACATCCGCGCCGTGGGACGGCCCCGGGGCAGGCAGCGCTGCCCCACATTGCGCAGGCAGCGGCGGCGGCCCCCGTGTCTGGGGTCTGCGCTGACCCCGCCGCTGTCACTGGCAGAAGGAGGAAATGAGTTTCCTGCGCTCGGCTCGGTGTCTGATGGAGCAAGGGACTCCCGTTCCACACTGCTTCAATGGGAGCACTGGGGAGTCCCGTTCCACACTGCTTCAATGGGAGCACTGGGGACTCCCGTTCCACACTGCTTCAATGGGAGCACTGGGGACCCCCAGCCCTGTGTGAGGGGTTTGCAAGGAGCCAGGTTCCAACGACGCTGTTAAAGGAATTAACCCCTTGGGTTTGTGGGCTGCAGCAGGGCTTGTTAGGGAAGGACATCTCAAGTCCTTCCCTGACCTCCTGGGTGCCCAGAGCAGATGCTCCAGCCTGGGAACACTTGGAATTCATTCCCGGATGGAGAGCCTGAAGGTAGATTGAGATGAGCTCTTAGGCAGAAGCTCTTCCCTGGGAGGGTGCTGAGGCGCTGGCACAGGGTGCCCAGAGAAGCTGTGGCTGCCCCATCCCTGGCAGTGTTCAAGGCCAGGTTGGACACAGGGGCTTGGAGCAAGCTGCTCCAGTGGAAGGGAGTTGGAACTCGATGAGCCCTTGCCTGCGGGTGCTGGATGGCCGCTGCCCCTCTGCTGCTCCCTCCTGCTGCAGGCACTGATAGCTGCCAGGTGAGAGCACGTCCCTGTGACTCAGGGAGCAGTTCCTGCTCCCAGGGCTGGCGAACCCCAGAGCAGACAGCTCAGGATGCGTGTCCCTCTGCTCACGAAGCCTTTGACACTTCTGGGTTCTCTGCATGTCTCCATTCATCCCAGAGAGGTGCCTGCAGATGACTAAGAGCTACAAGCCATGGCAGCCAGCCCTGCTGACCCGACTCACTCCCAGCCCTTGTGCTGAGCTGGGTCCCAATGTCACCACGCACCCACATGCTGGAGGCACATGATGGACATGGTGCAACAAGGCTGCAAATGGGCACCAGGACTCTGTGTGGGGCCCTGCAGGGATCTCAGCCCTGGGCAATTGGGGAAGCTTTGTCTGCTGCCCTGGCATGTGCAGGGCTCCAGAGGTGTAGCTGTGCTGTCCCCACTCTGATGCCCATCGTGTAGGCTTGGCAGTGAGCTCTGTCCCCTTCTCCTGCCTCCATCCCTGGAGGGGAAGAGCAGGAGATCTCCTGGCCCTGCTGCTCCCTCTCTTGTGTGTCCTCTGCTTTGGGTTCCTTAGACCAAAAACTGCTTCTCAAGAGTGATTTGTTCAGCAATGGGCATAAATCCTCTGCTCTTCACATTGCTCTCGGTGGGATAAAATACTCCGTGCCTGTCTATTTAAACATCTTATGTTAATACCTTGAAATGTTTGTTCATCTTCTATTATTCTTTTAGCTCTGAAGTACTAAACGCTCCCGGGCATGTCAGAGTACAGCAAATCCATGGCTACAGATGCTGCAGCTGAGCGAGCCCTGGGCTGAGCAGACAGGGATGCTTCTGGACAAAGGGAGAGCTGACATTTTCTGGCAGAGGGGCTGTGACTGGGAAGGGCTTAGCGAAACGGTAAATAGCTGCTGTCACAGGCACTTGCGTAACTGCTTGGGTTTCCCCATCATTATTCATTAGTTGAGTCTAGCTTCTCTCTGCTTTGGCTCTGCTGTGGTAAACCTGAGGTTATCCAGTAAGCCGGGAGCGCTGCTTCGGGAAGGAGAGGGTGCTACTTGAGTGCAAATGCTCTGGGTACTTCTGCTAAATGCATCTGCTGGGCTGAAGTGATCACAGCAGGGAGGAATCATGCAGATACTGAGTCACTGGTGCACCGTGGGCAGAGGCAGTGGGACCAGTCCTTGGCTCTGGAGCAGGGATGGGGGAAACCACTTTCCCAGGCCCAGCCAAGCCCCTTGCCTTGCTGCTTGGTCACAGGGTTTCCTGGGAGCTGCGCTGTGGTTTGCCTGTGCCTCACTGCTCTGCAGCTTTACCGTTCACAGGTGACCTTGGGAGGTGCAGGCTGAGCTGCACAGTGGGGCAGATGGGGAGGATGAGGATTCATTTCACAGCTCCTTGCAGGATCGCACACGCTCGCACAGCACCACAGGCTGCCCCTGGGCAGTGGTAAGTACGCTGCTGGCCCTGTCCCTTCAACCCTCAGCAGCGATTTCGAGTCAAAGCAGACACCGAAAGGATCGTTCTTTTCCTTGACGGAAGCACAAGAGGAAAAACAATAGCCAGGGTGTGCCCGATCCATCCGTCACTGAGGAAATAAAACCATCCTCCTAAACCTTAATGCCATCATTCACTCAGACCAAAGGTAGAGATCAAGGCTGCTTAGTCGGAGCAGTACCTAAGGCCGTGTCTACTCAGGCAGACAGGCAGGCGCAGTGACAAGCAAATTACTCTGGCATGGTCCCTGGGGAGCGTGCGCTCTCCCGCAGAGCAAGCGATTGCCTCAGAAACACATCTGCTCCTCAAGGGGCCCTTGGGCTACGCAGGGAGTAAGTTACTCCACGGAGTGCTTATGAGGATCTTGTTAAAAGCCAAGGAATAAGTTCAAGAGAGAACGCTTCAGTGAAAAATCAGTGCATTTGTCTGCAGCTACAGAGGACTCTGATACTCGCGGGTGAAGCGCGCAATGGGATGGGTAACGCGGGCGCACAGGCTCAAACCGTGAGTCAGTCAGTTCTGCAAATCCTTGGCTTGCTTCTCCTCTAGCTCTCCCTCGATAACTTCCCTTTTCCTCTGAGAGGACTTGAGCTCCCTCCTCCCCTCTCTCATCACTACTGCACGTTGCACCACTGGGGACCAGTCGACGTGTGCACCGGAGCGGAGCTCCCACGAGAGGGGAGTGACCTTCCCACTGGTGCCTCCGCCGGGCACGCTTCCAAACTGGAGTGTGTGTGTCAGCTGATGGGTTCTCGCTCTGGCAACCAGCTATGATGCTGCCATCAGAGACGTCTTTATCGAGGCCAGCGAGGGAAGCAGATGGTCTCTCAGTCAGCATCTCCATAAATGTGAGTGGTTGCGGCTATAAAAGCAAACTGCTATAAAGGGATGTTGCTAAGCTTTCCTTCCAGCGTTATTGCTTGGCTTCCCTCGTGAGGCACGGTGACCCTCTTCCAAAGAAAGGGCATAAATCATCACTTGGGTTTTTTTCCTTTAATTCCTAGACGTGCTGAGTACTGTGTAATAAATTATACTGCTCCCTCTAAAAGTAAATCCAGGCACAGCCCTGCCAGCCTCTTGAATCCCTGCGTCGCAGGTGATGGGAGGATTTAGTCCGTCCGTCTGTTCCCATCACCCCGGAGCACAGGTTGACGAGTGCAGTGAGCTGAGCCATTAGGTCACCCCAGAGATGAGCAGGGATTTAGGATGCCAAAGCAGTCAGGGGCACAAGGCAGCCCCATCCCCATCCTCTCCCAGGTAGCTCAAGGGACCTGCCCCTCATTGCTCAGGGCTTGTCGACACAGGACTCTTAAGAAAATTAAATTGAAGTAACTAAATCTAAAGTGGATTAAAGAGCATTAAAATTCTGCATAGAACTCTCGTTCGAAATTAAAGTGGGCTTAATTCAGTTTAAGTTACTCCCAAATGCTACTGGATAAGACCATTTAAATTGTCCTTCATTAACAGAAGTGGTCCCATATAGGCAGTTATAAATGAGGCTTAATTAGCCCATTTTGAAGCACAAGTTAGCTGCCTTATGCTCCCATAGGTAGGCAGCCAGGTCCACGGCCACTTTTTGACACGGATCCTGGTCGGGATGGGTTAGCATTTGGCATCTCTTCCCGAGGGAGTGGCACGTGGCCAGCTTCTTCCCCACCAGCAGATAATACAATCCTTGAATGCCACCTATTTTGACTGTGTTAAATGTACGAGTGGGAGATGAAAGGCTGCTTTGCCAGAGGATGAGCTCTTCCTTTGCAATCTGGGACATGGGAGTGGTAATACCTAGAGAAATCCCTAGAAAAAGATGGGATGTCAGGATTTAACGAGACTTGTTCATGAGCAATGAAGCAGATTGAAGGAGAGCGTATGCTGAGTCAGCAAAGAAGTGGAAGGAGATGGGAGGGACTGAGCCCATCCCTGGGACAGGGCTCCTGCTGTCACTGCTGCCTATGAGTAGCCCTGATTCAGAAGGGTAACCCTCCAGCAGCATGAGACACTGCTGGCTGCCCTTAATGCCCAGCCTGGGTCTACCATCTGACGGCACCTTCCCCATCCCATCGCCCTCAGTCTCACGAGTTCCTCCTCAGGAAAGGCCCCGGGCATGCGTGCGCTGCAGAGGGGATTTCCACCTCTTTCCTGTGGGTGCAGATATCTCACAGCAGGACGGAGCCACAGCAGCACTCAACAGCCCAGCAGCGCCTGTCCTGCAGCAGAAAGGGGATGATGCAGCTGCCCAGCAGCCATGCTCAGCGCCCCGCTTCCCATCCCAACCTCCCCACTGAGCGCCTCAGCCCAGGGACCAGGACTATGCCTGTCCCCACCATCCAACCCCAGCAGAAGGACAGTCAGATTGTGGTGATATGAGGGCCTGAGCCCAAACCATCATCTGTGCAGGATACCTTCCGAAACAAAGGGGTGTTTGATGGGGGTCTGGATGTAGAAGTAGAGTGTGCAAGTTAGAAAGCACTGCTGCAAAGCACCATGAAGGTGCTCAGCACCCCTTGTGAAATCCATGGTAAGGTTCTTGGCATATCTCTGGCAGACTTGGTGCTGTTTCGGCTCTCTGAATACAGCTCCTTCCCTCCCCTCAGCCTTGTTCTCTGTTCTGCAGCTCCTCCAGCATTCCCCAGGCTGGGACGACTCAACCTGCGGCAGTGCTGGTTTGCCATGGGGGAAATGCTCCCGGGGCAGTGGTTTCACTGAAGCCCTGCTGGCTCCGGCCCCCGGGGGAGCAGAGCGGGGCACAGACCTGCGGGCACGTCTGGAGGAAGCAGCAGCTGGAAAGCACCGTGATAGCGACGGCAGCAGCAGCCCCACGACACGAGGTCCAGGGCAGAGCGGAGCAGAGGCGGGACTGTCCCTGAAGATGCTCCAGGCGTGTTTGCACAAGGAATTTAAGTGCAACGCCTCCTCCGCAGGGCTGCGCACTGGAACGGGTCAATACGCTTTCAAATCACAATTGAGAGCCAATTTCTTGCTTTGGAATGAGATGCTTTAGGAGCTTTACCCAGCAGCAGGAAGAGGAGGTGGCTCTGCAGGACCTCTCCCTCCACAGGGCACCCTTGCCCAGGGAAGAAGCAAAACCTCCTGCCTTGTCGGTGGTTGTGAGGGGTGCACCAGCGATCCTAGCAGAGCCTTTGTTCTGGAAGCCTTCATGCCCTCAGAAGCTGCCGGCTCCGCAGCAGCCCTTGCAGTGCCAAGCTTTCTCTTCAAAGCAATTTGCAAATGTGAAAAGGAAAGGGAAAGAAAATCAAAAGTAAGCACCGGGAGCCTTGGGGTGCAGCCAGCCCATGACCCCTTTTGACTTCTAGGGTGGAGAAGCCAAGACCATCTACCTTGGCATCTCTTCTTACCAAATCAAACCAGGCAGCGTGCAGTTGCTGTCACTGCTTTGCATAAAGGAGGAGATCCAGCTTTGTGGCTCTTACTTTGGGGTATTTCCTATAAAAAGCACATCTGTGGCCATGCTTTTTGGTGCAATAGGCTCTAGCCTGGAAGCAAAAGCACATAAACAATGCTAAATTCATGCTGACTGGAGTAGATTCCAAAGGAAAGAAGAGTTGGGAAAGCACCTACTTAAGTACTGACTAAGGATATTATCTGTAATCTGAATCTAGCCTCTGTGTGTGTGTTACTGTTGAGTACACAGTGCGGTTTCAGACATGGCCAGAGACAAGAAAAAATGATTGTTCAGGGTAACCACAAGGAAGATGAATGCAAATGTATTCCTGTAACTGGGAGAGTTCCCTTGCTCTTAAGCTGGGCTCCGGTACATGGCCTCAGGGAAGCAAATTTGCAACTACCTTCATTAAATTGTTTAGGAATGATTAATCAGGAGTCAGAGATGCAAAAATCTCGCACATTGTGAAATGCTGGTCCCATTCCTGCCTTTAACGCACAGGCTGCAAGGGTGACTTCACACAACACTCAGGGGACAGGTACTGGCGGTTGACAGATGCTTCCTGCTGGCTCTTATCTGCTCTAAAAGCCCAGGGTGATCATCGGCTGAATTAGCCACAGGCATCGCATCGGGAGCAGAGCGCTGCAAGAGCCGTGCGTCAGAGGCTCCATCCTCCTGCCTCTTGGACACGGGGCACGCAGCCTGCATGGGCACCGTGATGGGAGATGCTGTTGTCACCCGGCCGTGCTCTGCTGCGTGCATCCATGTGGTGACTCCGGTGTCACCGTGTGCTGTGTCCAAGAGCAGCTCGTACAGAATGCAAACACAGCGAGCACCATTGCTGATGGGCCCGAAGCTCGTGCCTGTGCATTCACACGCTCCTCCTGCCTAAAGCTGCCTGCAGCTTAGGCTCAGCTTAAACTGCAGCATCCTCAGCAACCCCTTGGTGACTGCAGGGTCTGACTGAACCCATCGTCCCCTGCCTTCCATCCCATTTCCCTTCCTTTCCAGCTTCAGCTCCTGGGTGTCCTCTGCTTTCCACGGGTATTGAGTGATGTTTTCCCGACAGCCCTAAGGCAGAGCCTGCTCCTTAACATGGTGAGAGGCGATGGGTTGGTACCACCTTACACTCCGTGTGGGTTAGGGGATATGCTGTCTCTCTGAGCAGGCGTTTTGGAGCTCAGGGACCCAATTCCCATTTGACATCCACCTCTGATGGGGAAGGGAAGAGTAAAAGAGAGCCAGGACTGGAGTTTTGATGTGCGTAACCTCGGAGTAACAGCAGCCAAGGCCAAGCTGGGAACCCCCTGAGGAACCAGCTCCTCCAGCTCATTGACCCCCTCGGTCCGCGATGAAGATGCCCACCAGCGGCTGTGCGGGCCCCCCACACACACACAGATCCCGGCAAGGAGGAGGTCCCGGGAGGACACCGGGAAGCAGCAGGGCACATTTACCTAACGAGCGCGCTTGTCGGGGCAAATCTGCCCGCGTTGCAACAGGATTTGCATAGGAGCCAGGTGCTTGCAGCGGGACCCGCACCGACATCTGCGGGGCTGCTCCGCGGAGAGGGCCCCGAGGAACCGGGGACGCCGAGCGGGGCGGGGAGCCGAGCCCGATCCCGAGCCCCTGCCCCTGCCCCGCTCACCCGGCGGAGAGGCGAGGCCCGGCCCGGCCCCGAGCACCGGTCCCGGCGGCAGGGCCGCAGCCGGGCCGGGCGGGGCGGGGCTCGGGGCGGACCGGGAAGCGGCGGCTGCTCCGCCCCCGCCCGTTCTGCCCTTCCGCGTTGGCGCGGCGCGGCCCGGGCCCCCCTTATAAAGCGGCAGCGGCGGCCGCCGCCCCGTGCGCTCTGGCCCCATGGAGACGCAGCGGCGGCCCGGCGGGGGCAGGCCGGTAAGGGACGGGGGCGGGCGGCTCCCTCCGGGGCCGGGAGGCGGGAGGGGGGGGGAACGGGACCCGGCCAGGCCTCACAAGCCGCGGCCTTGCCTGGCTCGGGGTCCCTGCGGAGGTCGGGCCTCGCTGGTAACACCCCCCCCATTGGCCCGCAGGTCCTGAGCGGGAGCCGAGGCCGGGAGTACCCCGCGGGGAGCCATGAGCGCGGGCAGCGTCTCCTCCGCCCCGGGCTGGCCTGAGGCGCTCCCGGCGTCCCGGCTTGGCGAGAGGATGAGCGGCAGAGAGGCGGGCGAGGGCCGCTGCCTCGGCCTGGAGGAGACGGGGAGCCCCGGGCGGGAGCCGTGCGACAGCGCCGAGATGCAGCTGAAGGTGGATTTCTTCCGCAAGCTGGGCTACTCCTCCTCGGAGATCCACGTCGTGCTGCAGAAGCTGGGGCTGAACGCCGACACCAACACGGTGCTGGGGGAGCTGGTGAAGCACGGCCCCGCCGAGCGGGACAGCACCGAGAGCCCGGCGGACACCAAGGAGGCCCCGCTGGTCCCGCGGGGGGGAGCCGGGAACAAGAGCCCGGCGCCGGGCCCGGAGGAGACGGAGAGCGATAACCTGAAGCCCATCGTTATTGATGGCAGCAACGTGGCCATGAGGTGCGTTTGGGGCTTTGGGTGGCCATGGTGGCCCCCTCCGGGGCTGTTGGTGCTCAATGGGGTGCTGGTTTTACAGGCTCTGAGGGGTGCCAAGAGCTTGGAGTCTGCGAGCGGCTGCAGCTGGGTGCTCTGGGCATGTTTCCCGAGGCACTGATGCGCCCATGAGCATCACATCTGCCTCGGTGCCCGTCCTGCCCATGGTCTCTGCCAGCCCGTGAGCAGTGGTCACAGGGTTCTGACAGAGGCAGGCACGCTTTCTGGGGAAATGAAGACATTTCCTTGTGTGTCCCAGCTTAGGGGGAGGATAAGTGAAGATACATTGTCCTCTTACCTAATGGCTTTATGTAAGTTTCAGTAGCAGGAAGTTGCTCAATAAATAATTACAGGGTTAATTAGAGGAGGCTCTGTAATACAGAGCTGTCTCCTGCATTGGAGACCAGTCTCTGAATTGTGGCTCTTGTATTTTGCCTGACTTTGTGCATGGTACAGAGAGCAGATAAGATGTTAAGGGGCCTCTCCAGCCCGTCCAGGGCTGCAGGTCATCCTCAGCATCATAGGTGCTGATGGCACAGCTCCTGTTGGGCACTGTGACCAGAGGCAGCCTGCGGAGCTGCTTTGGTGGGAGCGCAGGAGCCTTGATATCCATGGAGCACCCAGGAGCTGAATACTTACTGGCTTGATGTCCCTGCTGTCACCTTGGCTGTGGTGCTGAGCATTGCCTGCCCTCACCCCAACCCTTGATGCTGTGCTCCGCACCTCTACACAACGAGTCTGGGCTGGGTTAATTGAATACACTTAAGTTTCTGAACTGGGCTCTGCTGTTGCAGTTCAAAAGCAAGCCTCCTTCACTGCGTTTTAGTTTAATAAGTCTTGTAGTGTCTGTTTGTGTACAAAGACTTCTTAATTAAAGCATAAGTCTGTTTGCACACAGCTGCTCTGGATTCCTGCAGCTTTTGTCCAAGGTGAAAGTGCTGAGTGGAGCTTTGCTTGCAGGTGTGGTTTTCTCTAGGCTGTGCCTGGCAGTTCTGAGAACGGGACTGAGAAAAGATGGGTTCAGTTGCTGTGCAAGCAGCAGCCGGCCTGCGACTCCCAGGGGAAATAAGGAATTCTGGTGGCAATGGAGTGAGGCTGGAGAAGAAAAGGTGGGACCTGGGTGCACAGGGGGGAGCTCAGCCCTTTCCCTGTGGCTCTCCAGCAGCTCTGGGCTAATAGAGTGACTCCTGCAGGGAAGTTTACCTTGGAGAAGTGCTTAAACAACAGAACTGGTTGTGGGGCTTGAACGCAGAGCCCCTTCCCCATGGAAGTTATCCCAAAGAGCAGCCAGCAGATGTGAGTGAGGGCAGGCCAGGCGGCAGTAACGCTGCCGATGGGACAGAGCCCCATAGGAGAGAAGCGCTCTGGCTTTTTTAAGCAATATGCTAGAAGGGGAATTCCATTCTGAAACTTCCTGTATTGATGGTGTGATGTTCCCTGCTGATTCATTTGCCGTGTGTACAGCGGCCTCGCTGAACAGCTCTTGACAAACATATGCAAATCAGAGTGGAAATTAGCTTTTACTTCCTTCTAAGGGAATTTTTTCTTGGCTGCTGCCGATTCAGATCAGCCCAGTTAGGTGCCTTCTGGAGATGTGAGATTGGTAGCAGGGACTCAGAAAGAAGAACATCTGCTTTTTGTATTTATCTCTAAAAGATCACAGTGCCCTGTGTCTGGGTGCGTGCAGCAAAACCGGTCTGACACTGGAGAAACCTTTTAGAGCATCTTGGTTCCGATTATTCATGTCAGCCTTTCTGTAACTTGGGATTCTGAATGTACATCGGGTGTCTCTGTAGGTGTTAGTTTTCATGCTGAGAGTACTGAAATGCTTACTCTATAGCTCTGGTTTTCCTAACAGCTTCAGAGAAGGGTGAAAGCAGAAGTCAAGTTTCTTTCTGGTGCTGCTATGGAATAGATCTTAGCAATGTCTCTGCTGGGATGTAGGTTCTTTGGTAATCACTTAATGGAGGAGTTCACTGGTGTGCTACGTGGAGTTGAAATGTTATTGGAGTGTAGATGGGAAGGGTAAACCTCAGGGCAGGAGCAGTGCCCAGGTGAGGAAATCTGGCTGAATTATGAGACCAGTTATCTTCAGTATAGTACATCTTACCAGGGTGTTATCACGAAACACAGGCTGTTAGATCCCCAGAATGCAATATAGGGCTGTGATACAGAAATGTTGAATGCTTGCCAGAACCATTATCAGCAAAAGAGCTGATTATGCTGTAACTACTGGCACTTGTAAAACAGAAGCTGTAGTTTCCTCTTAGAAGTTCTGGAAACTATTGATAGGACCTAATAAATAATTAAGCAGCAGCTTTCTGCATTGGTACGTGGCTTCTGATGCTGTTGTCAAACTTTGTTCTCAAACTGACAAGTGCTGTTAGGACATTGAGTACTGATCTTGTTAACAGGAGGTGTTAGGTTTGTGCAAATGCTGCATTTGTCACTGATTTGGGGCCATAATATAATAAAGAAGCATCCTTAAGTGCTGGTTGTCTTGATGTAAGTGTACAAGATGTCTTTTTTTTTTTTCCCTGAAGTTATCAGAATAACTTTACAAGCAAAACCCCGGTGAGGGTACAGTTTACACTGGCAGGAATTAGCTGCTGGCAGACTAGGACAAAGGGTGTTGAAGATCACATTGTACTCGGGGCTAAAAATACAGATCTAGAGTCCAGAGTTAAAGCAAAGGTTCTGTTTCAGCAGCTGCAACTATTAGAGCTGCTCTCTCCCTCCTGGTGAGGGTTTGGGTATTTCTTGGTCCTCAGGTGCTAAAAGGAGTAGTAATTATGAGTTGCTGATGCTGCTTACACAAGATGAGTAACAAATACTGATTGTGCTGCTTTGAATGCTTCTT